ATTTTGGGGGAAAAAAATGGGAATTTGGGGGGAAAATGGGAATTTTGGGAAAAAATGGGGATTGTGGAGGGAAAATGGGAATTTTGGGAACATCTTGGGGGGAAAATGGGAATTTTAGGAGGGAAAATGGGAATTTTTTGGGGAAAAATGGGGATTTTGGGGATAAAAAGGGGGATTTTTTGAGGAAAAAAGATGAATTTGGGGTAAGTTTTGGTCCCCAATCTGATTTTGCCGTCCAAATTCCCGAATTTTGCCCGAATTCCCGGGTTTTGCCCCAATTGCAGGTGAGGATTTCTACGGGAAGTTGGCGGCCTCCATCGCCCCCGAGATCTTCGGCCACGAGGACGTGAAAAAATCGCTGCTGCTGCTGCTGGTGGGGGGCGTGGAGAGGAGCCCCAGGGGGATGCGCATCAGGGGTGAGCCAAAAATTATAAAATATCACAAAATTATCCCAAAAAAATAATGAAAAATAAAAAAAACCCCGAGAAAATCGGATAAAAATGAAAAAAACTGCAAAAAAATAGCCCAGAAAATGCTGGTGGGGGGCGTGGAGAGGAGCCCCAGGGGGATGCGAATCAGGGGTGAGCCAAAAATTATAAAAATTAAAATAAAAATCATGAAAAATAAAAAAAAACCCCGAAAAAATCGGATAAAAATGAAAAAAAATAGAAAAAAATGAAAAAAAAATCCCCCAGAAGATGCTGGTGGGGGGCGTGGAGAGGAGCCCCAGGGGGATGCGCATCAGGGGTGACCCTGAAACCCCAAAATATTTTAAAAAATGAAAAATCTGGGGTTTTTCCCCATTTCTGACCCCAAATTCCCATTTTTTTTCCAGGGAACATCAACATCTGTCTGATGGGGGACCCCGGTGTGGCCAAATCTCAGCTCCTCTCCTACATCGACCGCCTCGCCCCGCGCAGTCAGTGCCTGTTTGATTCTTTTTATTTCTCTTTTTCTATTTTTCCTCAATTTCCTCATTTTCCTCATTTTCCTCCTCATTTTCCTCTTTTTTTCCTCATTTTCCTCCTCATTTTCATAATTTTCCTTTTTTTCCTCAATTTCCTCCTCAATTTCCTCCTCATTTTCCTCCACATTTTTCTCATTTTCCTCCTCATTTTTCTCTTTTTTCCTCAATTTCCTCCTCGTTTTTTTCCTCTTTTTCCTCCTCACTCCTCATTTTCCTCTTTTCTTCTCATTTTCCTCCTCTTTTTTCCTTTTTTCCTCAATTTCCTCCTCATTTTCTCATTTCCCTCTTCATTTTTCTCCTCAATTTCCTCATTTTCCTCATTTTCCTCCTCATTTTCCTTCTCATTTTCCTCTTTTTTCCTCTTTTCTCCTCATTTTCCTCCTCACTTTCCTCATTTTCCTCCTCATTTTCCCCATTTTACCTGATTTTTCCCTGTTTTCAAGGGGAAGCTTTGGGCAAATTTTTCCTGGTTTTTTCCCATTTTTTTGTGTTTTTTCCCATTTTTTCACAATTTTTTCCTGTTTTTTTTCCCATTTTCCCATTTTTTCTCCCCATTTCCAGGTCAGTCCACCTCGGGCCGTGGCTCCTCGGGCGTTGGTCTCACCGCCGCCGTTCTCTGTGACCCCACAGGGGGGCGCTCATTGCCCATTTTAACCCCATTTTTAACGGGATTTTCACCGGGTTTTTTCCATTTTTTCCCATTTTCTTCATTTTTCACCCCGTTATTTTTTGTTTCTCAGGTCAGTACACCTCTGGCCGTGGCTCCTCAGGCGTGGGCCTCACCGCCGCCGTTCTCCGTGACCCCACAGGGGGGCGCTCATTGCCCATTTTAACCCCACTTTCTCCATTCTAACCCCATTTTTAACGGGATTTTTTCCATTTTTTCACCATTTTTACCGGGTTTTTTCCCATTTTCTCTGTTTTTCACCCCATTTTCTCTGTTTTTAAGGTCAGTACACCTCCGGCCGTGGCTCCTCGGGCGTGGGCCTCACCGCCGCCGTTCTCCGCGACCCCACAGGGGGGCGCTCATTGCCCATTTTAACCCCATTTTCTCCATTTTAACCCCATTTTCTCCATTCTAACCCCATTTTTAACGGGATTTTTTCCATTTTTTCACCATTTTTACCGGGTTTTTTCCCATTTTTCCCATTTTTCACCCCATTTTTCCCCATTTCCAGGTCAGTACACCTCAGGCCGTGGCTCCTCGGGCGTGGGTCTCACCGCCGCCGTTCTCCGCGACCCCACAGGAGGGCGCTCATTGCCCATTTTAACCCCATTTTTAACGGGATTTTTGCCAGGTTTTTTCCATTTTTTTCCCGTGTTTTTTCCCATTTTCTCCATTTTTAACCCCATTTTCTCTGTTTTTCAGGTCAGTACACCTCAGGCCGTGGTTCCTCGGGTGTCGGTCTCACCGCTGCCGTTCTCCGTGACCCCACAGGGGGGCGCTCATTGCCCATTTTAACCCCATTTTCACCGGGTTTTTTGCTGTTTTTTCCCATTTTTACCGGGTTTTTTCACCATTTTTCCCATTTTTAACCCCATTTTCTCTGTTTTTAAGGTCAATACACCTCAGGCCGTGGCTCCTCGGGTGTTGGCCTCACCGCCGCCGTTCTCCGCGACCCCAGCACGGGTGAGCTCACTCTCGAGGGCGGCGCTCTGGTGCTGGCGGACGGCGGCGTTTGCTGCATCGACGAATTCGATAAAATGCTGGAGGGCGATCGGGTGGCGCTGCACGAGGCCCTGGAGCAGCAGAGCGTGGCCGTGGCCAAAGCGGGCGTGGTGGCCACTCTGAGCGCCCGCTGCGCCGTCCTGGCGGCCGCAAACCCCGCCCTGGGACGCTACGACCCCGCCCGGGGGCTGGACAAGAACCTGGGGCTGCCCGCGGCGCTGCTGAGCCGCTTCGATCTGGTCTGGGTGCTCCAGGACCGGCCCCACAGACACCGGGACCTGCGGTCAGTCAAACTGGGATGGACTGGGATATACTGGGATGGATACGGGATCACTGGGATGGACTGGGAATCGATTGAGAGGGTCTGGGATGGACTGGGAATGGATTGGGAATCGATTGAGAGGGTCTGGGATGGACTGGGAATCGAT